TCTGAAAATTATGGGAAACCATTGGAACATTCAAGTTAGACTTTAGGAGTCAGAAAAATTCAGTGAATGGGGGACGTTATACTACCTTTGGAGTCAAGGTTGAGATTAGACTCATTACTGTCCTCAAGGAATGTAGAACACCCAGAAATGCTCACACAAACAGTGAACAGCAAAAGAATATTATTATAGAGCAACTTAATAGGACAAATTAGTATCTGTGGTTAATGGCACCCTTTTTCATCCCTATTGTTTTAAATTTTTCTAAAGACAATATATGCTCCTGGTTTAAAAAAAGAAAACACACAGAAGAATACAATGTTAAAGAAGAAATTCAGGGCTGGGCTGTGGTGGCTCATACCTGTAATCCCAATACTTTAGGAAGCCGAGGCAGGAGGATCGCTTGAACCCAGGAGGGCTTCTCCTGCCTCAGCCTCCTAAAGTGTTGGGATTACAGGTATGAGCCACCATGCCCTGGGCAATATAATGGGAACTCATCCCTACAAAAAAAAAGAAAAAAAAATTTTTTTTTTCCCCAGAGAGAGTATGGATTTGTCACTCAGGCTGGAGCACAGTGGCACGATCTTGGCTCACTGCAGCCATGATTTCCTGGGCTCAAGCAATCCTTCCACCTCAGCCTCCTGAGTAGCTGGGACTACAGGAGTGTGCCACCACACCCAGCTAATTTTGGTATTACAAAAAAAATTTTTTTAACTTAGCTGAGCATGGTGACGCACGCCTGTAGTCCCAGTTTCTCGGGTGGTTGAAGTTGGGGGATCGCTTGAGCCTGGGAGGCGGAAGCTGCAGTGAGCAGAAATCATGACACTGCACCCTAGCTTAGACAACAGAGCGAGACCCCATCTCTCAATAAATAAACAAAAATAAAAGTAAATTTATTGTAAAATTAAAACATGTTAGTGGTAAATTTTTTTTGTGGGTGTGTGTGTGTGTGTGTGTGTGACAGAGTCTCACTCTGCCGCCCAGGCTGGAGTGCAGCGGCACTATCCTTCCTGGCTCACCGCAACCTCCACCTCCCAGGTTCAAGCAATTCTTCTGCCTCAGTCTCCCTGTAACTGGGATTACAGCTGCCTGCCATCACACCCGGCTAATTTTTGTATTTTTAGTAAAGACGGGGTTTCGCCATGCTGGCCAGGCTGGTCTCGAACTCCTGACCTCAAGTGATCCGCCCACCTGGGCATCCCAAAGTGCTGGGATTACAGGTGTGAGCCACCACGCCTGGCCAATTTTTTTTTTTTTTTTTTTTTTTTTTTTAATTTTGAGATGGAATTTCATTCTTGTTGCCCAGGCTGGGGTGCAATGGCACGATCTCGGCTCACTGCAACCTCCACCTCCCAGGTTCAAGGGATTCTCCTGCCTCAGCCTCCCAAATAGCTGGGATTACAGGCACCTGCCACAATGCCCGGCTAATTTTTTGCATTTTTTGTGGAGACGGGGTTTCAACATGTTGGCCAGGTGGGTGACCTCAGGTAAGCCACCTGCCTCGGCCTCCCAAAGTGCTAGGATTACAGGCTTGAGCCACCACACCTGGCCCCAAAAATTTTTGAAGTAAAGAAGAATATAATGTTGGCTGGGCACAGTGGCTCATGCCTATAACCCTAGCACTTTGGTAGGCCAAGGTGGGCGGAACACCTGAGGTTAGGAGTTTGAGACCAGCCTGACCAACATGGCGAAACCCCGTCTCTACTAAAAATACAAAAACTAGCCAGGCATGGTGGTGGGTGCCTGTAATCTCAGCTCCTCAAGAGGCTGAGGCTGGAGAATCACCTGAACCCAAGAGGTAGAGGTTGGGGTGAGCCGAGATCATGCCATTGCACTCCAGCCTGGGCAACAAGAGCGAAACTCCGTCTTAAAAAAAAAAAAAGATGAAAATTCCTCCCCTCACTCTGGAGGGGTGATCACTGTTAACAGTAAGCGAATCTTCTAGATTCTTTCTGTATACAAATAAACAGGTTGAACCGTATGAAATTTCTGACACTTGATTGTTTTGACCTACTAAAATACTAGTTTTATATAATTCGACCTAATCTTTGCATGTGTATTTGACAAACATTCTGTAGCTTGCTTTTTTTACATGCCAGTGTAGTATGCGTATCTTTCAATGTCTGTTCATACAAACATAATAAAGATCACCCACAACTTTTATTAAGCAGGGCACTATGCACCAGGTACTCTTCACTCAAAACAGCCTTTGGAACAGACCCTATCATTATCCTCACAGAAGAGGAGACTAAGGTGTTGGAGAATTAAACATTTGCCCACGAGCACACAAGTGGGAAAAGTGAAATCTTTCCAACTACACACAGTGGTTCCTGACATAGTATATCTGTTTCTTACTGAAGGAGCCTCAGTTTGTCTCCAATTTTTCATATTATAAACAATGCTTAATGAGCATTCTTGTAACGTATATCTCCCATGGGTGTCTGTGGGTTGGATGATTAGAAATTCTGGGGTGGCTGGGCGCAGTGACTCACGCCCTGTAATCCCAGCACTCTGGGAGGCTGAGGCGGGCAGATCTCCTGAGGTCGGGAGTTTGAGACCTGCCTGGCCAACATAGCGAAATCCCATCTCTACTAAAAATACAAAAATTAGCCGAGCATGGTGGCACACATCCATAATCCCAGCTACTCAGGAGGCTGGGGCAGGAGAATCACATGAACCTGGGAGCTGGAGATTGCAGTGAGCCAAGACCACGCCACTGCACTGGGCGTGCAGTGAGAAATTCCATCTCAAAAGACCGCGCCACTGCACCTGGGCGGCAGATTGAGACTCCATCTCAAAAAAAAAAAATAAGGACATGGGTAGTTTGAAAAGAGGCCAAGAAACAGCAGATGAGAATATATAAAACTTGAACACTTGTCACTTCAGAAGTGGTCAGTGTATGTTGGCATTATTCTCTTGAGGTGGTCACCCTGGGTTTTAAGTACTAGGCATTGAGCCAGTGGCACCCCTTAGAGTAGGGATTGGTATCCTGTGACCACAGATGTGTTTAAGACGACTTTCCTGGAATTAGTGATAAAAACTCACATGGCTTAAGGGAGAGGGGATTTATTGGTTCACATAACCAAAAACTCCAGGGATAGCTGCCCAGAGGGAAATGAGGGAAAAAAAGGAAATGCTCCCTTCCTGGGATCTCCCACTTCCCAGTTTGCCAAGGAGAACTGAGCCCCAGGAGAACACTGAGGCAAAGTCTCAATACTTTCTCCCCCTCCTCTCTGAAAAGAGAATAAAATGAAGGCTTGGCATACACACCATCTCAGAGACAGTGCCAGCTCCTGCCTCCAAGGAACTGATTCCAAGGTGAACTGCTGGTGGTGGAAGAAGTCCTTCAATACAGCATGTATTGGTTGCACTTGATGTACAGAAGAGGACATAGACGCTGAGGGACATAAAGATAAGCAGAAACCTTGTCTCCAGAGTTCACAATCCAATAGAGGAGGGAGACTTGACATCAATATTCCAGTAGGAAGGCAACCTGTGAACCAGGCACATTTAGTTTCAACCTCAGCTCTGCCATTTACTCTTAAAATTTCCAAACCTCTGTATCTTCACCTGTAAAACAGGCTTAATGGTATTTGTGTATATAGGTGATTGTGAAGACAAGAAATGGGGTATAAAAAGTGCTTTGACTGGGTGTAGTGGCTCATGCCTGTAATCCCAGCACTTTGGAAGGTCCAGGTGTGAGGATCACTTGAGGCCAGCAGTTCAAGGCCAGCCTGGGCAACACACCCAGACCTCTGTCTCTACCAAAAAAAAAAAAAAAAAAAGTTTTGGCCGGGCATGGTGGCTCAGGCCTGTAATCCCAGCACTTTGGGAGGCTGAGGTGGGCGGATCGCCTGAATTCAGGAGTTCGAGGCCAGCCTGGCCAACATGGTGAAATCCTGTCTCTATTAAAAATACAAAAATTAGCTGAGTGTGGTGGTGGGTGCCTGTAATCCCAGATATTCAGGAGGCTGAGGCAAGGGGATCGCTTGAACCCAGGAGGTGGCGGTTGTAGTGAGCCGAGATCATGCCATTGCACTCCAGCCTGGGTGACAGAGTGAGACTCCATCTCAAAAAATAATAATAATAATAAAACAAAATAAAAATTTTAATTAAAAAAACCACCTCCTACAGTGACTGGCATATGGTGAGTGTGCAATAGTGACTAGTGACTTTTTAATCATTCACACTGCCTGTGACAATAGGTATAATAGAATTACCCCCAAGGCAATTTTATTTTCACCAGATTTCAGATTTCAACCCCTTTATTCTAATATCATGGATTTGTTCAACAAACCCAAATTTCCCCTGCACACCATTATGACCACTATCCCTTCTAAGCCTTGCCCTCTCCACGTCATGGGCCATTTTTCATGACCCTTCCTTGAGCCCTCTCCTCTCCCAGAGCAGACACACTTAGGTGATAGGCACACTGCAGCCAGAACACTGAGTCTTTGATGGAAACCATGATAAATTGGCAGCTTCTGCCCTGGGGTAGCAGAGCAAGTCCCTGCAAACCCTGCAAACTGTCCAGCATTGTGGGAAGCACTTGGGCTTTGGAATCTGACAGAGCTGGATTTGAACTCCAAGGTGTTCACTGTGGGTCTTTTGGCAAGGTACTGAATCCCTTGAGCCTCAGTCTCCCTGTCTGTAGAAAGAGGACACCAATACCTAATGAAGTGGCTAAGAGTATAACTGCATGGGTTTGAATTCCAGTTCTGCCAGTTGTGACCTTGGGTGAGAAATATCTCGGGGCTGCAGGAGTTTTCATCTGTATAATGGGGATGTGAGTAGTTTTTATGGTGGTTAAGCAGATGATACGTAAAGTGCTTTAGCCCAGTGCTTGGCACATAGTGTTTAAGTTTTAGTTATTACTGAACTGAACCGTGTGTGTAGAGAACTCAGCCAGGATGGGGTGGGGACAAGCAGAGAGGTGAGGAGCAGTCCTCTGGCCTAGTTTTGGTTGGGGTACAGAAAGACACACTGCCACTACTCTATCTCAGGTGCTGTCCCACAACCTGTACACGGTCCTGCACATCCCCCATGACCCCGTGGCCCTGGAGGAACACTTCCGAGATGATGACGACGGCCCTGTGTCCAGCCAGGGATACATGCCCTACCTCAACAAGTACATCCTGGACAAGGTGGGGCCCGGCTTGTAGGGGGCATCTGTAACCTCTTCCCACTTCTCCAGCCTGGCCAGCAGCCCAATACCTTGCCACTCCAACTCTTTGCCCCTGCCATAAACTCCTACTTCTGCCTGCTCTGTCCATGCCTGCTGTCCCATCACATCCCTCACATCCCAGCCACCTGCCTCCTTCCTGTCCCCCTCAACTCACCTTCGGTGTCCCTCATCTCTAATGAGGTGGGCCGCACCCTGCCCATAGCCTTCCACCGAACACCTGCCTGGCCCTCCTCCAGCTTCCAGCTATAACCTCTACAAAGGGTTCACTGAACACCTGCCCGGCCCTCCTCCCGCTTCCAGCTATAACCTTTATAAAGGGTTCTCCACCCTTCCCAGACTGTCCCCCTGACCCCCCCCCAACTCCTCCAATCTGTCACTGTCTTTCCAGGTTCTTGGCTCTTAGCTTCCTGCTGGGTTTCTCTTCCTTTCTCCTCTGGGCTGAAAGACTAGAGTTACTCTGTTGTCAGGGGGCCTGGGGGGTGTGGGTGTGTTGTGGGGGGTGGAGTGGTTGGAACCAGCTAGTTACCTGGTAATCAGCTCAGGGATCCCTTGAGTTAGGGCCCTGGACTTGGCCAGGTGGGGAGCAGGGGCATAGATGAACCCCAGAAACCCAGCTGGAGCCTAGTGTCGTGGTAGAGCAGGGATATGCAGCCAGCTGATTTGCAGCCCTGGTGGCAGGTGGAGGAGGGGGCTTTTGTTAAAGAGCACTTTGATGAGCTGTGCTGGACCCTGACGGCCAAGAAGAACTATCGGGCAGATAGCAACGGGAACAGTATGCTCTCCAATCAGGATGCCTTCCGCCTCTGGTGCCTCTTCAACTTCCTGTCTGAGGACAAGTACCCTCTGATCATGGTTCCTGATGAGGTGAGGGTGATGGCAGCCCCAGGGACTGAATCACTTGGGACCAGACCTAAGCAAAACCATGAATGAGACCAAACCACCTTTGGTACCTCCCACATCCCTTTCTTTCTTCACTGTCTTCCCATGCTGGTATCTGTCCTCACCCAGCTGTCTCCAGATGCCTAGAACTGCCTGTGTCAGAGTAATTGTGCCTTCTTCCAGGAAAACTGAAATTACACTTTCATGAGGGTTCTGCTGGTCCTCACTGTAGGAAAATGATCTGCACATTCTGTTTACACAGAGGTCTAAATGCCAGATACATTACTGAGCATTACTGGCAATCTAGGAAGGGTGCTTTTTTTCCCCCCTTTACCTTTTGCCACTTCTTCCAGGACAGGAAGGATGCTTTACAAGGCAAAGGGAGACCTTTCTGAGACAGGAGGTTACTCTGGTTCCAGATTTTCCCTTTCTGCCTTTCTTCTGGAAAGCTAGGACAGATTCAGCTAAAAGACCCAGGGAGAGGACATCCAGGGAGGAGAGGGCATCCTGGGAGAAAAGGCCAGGAATCTGGTCCCTACCTCCTCACTCCTGGGTGAAGTCAGGGAAGGCATTTTCCCATCCACCTGCACGCTCCCTCTTATCCTCATTTCCCTCCCCTGCCCATTTGGCCTTGTGACCCTTTAGTCCTTTTGGTGGCTATGGAGATGCCAGGGTGACTTTAGGTCTCTAGAGTGGGGTTTACAGGAGAAGGAACCTCTGTACTTACAAGAAGCCCTAGCATGTCAAGCTCCACTCACATTTGTTCTGGCTTCTGTTTGTGGGAAGGGTGATGAAGGGAACCATCTGAGCCCTGAACCAGTGCCCTCTACTAAATGCCCAAACAAGACCCAGGAGCCCCTAGAAAGTCCTAAACAGAGTGTCCCAAAAAGTTGCTGGGGCAGGTGAGGGACATGTGTCCATCTGCACGGACACTTGGCTGGCTGCCCTTGTTAGACCCCTGCCAGTCAGGGCAAGGTGGCCTCTCGGAGGCCAGGTGGTTGCTTGCTTCTGTGATCAACATACAGAGTTAACAACTGCAGCAGGATGTACCCCAGCCACCACTTCCGGTTCCTCTGTAACAGGTTTCCTGTCCCTGCCCAGCTTACCTCTACTCCCCACTCCCCACCACCTACCCCTACCCCAAATCCCCTTCCCCTCCCACAAGGGAAGGATCCCCAGGGTTGGAGATTGGGGCTTGCAATAAGGACCTGAATGGGATTCAGGAGATCAGAATCAGGTTCTGGCTGCCCCCAGTTTGCTGTGTGACTTAGAGCCAGTCACTTCCCTGTTTAGGCTTTGGTTTTGTCATCTGCAAAATGAGTGATTGGATGAGAGGGCCTTTGCACTCCCTTGACACTTTCTGTGGTTTATTGCCTCTTCCTGGATCCCAGATCTCAGGTCCCCTTCACCTTGCCCTTAAGATAGGAAGGAGTGGGACAGGAGGTTGTGGAGGGGGAGAGAAATTCGGAGTTGGGGCTGGGGCTCCAGGATCCTCTCCCAGGTCTTTTCCCTGGTCTCTATAGCATTTGGTCCTCTGGCCCCCTCAACGGTCTGTCCCCTGTTTCCCTCTGCCCAGGCTCTGGGAGCCAGATAGAGCACTCCCTGGTGTTGGTGCTGGCAACACCGCTTGCTGCAACTACCAGGTCTTCCTTCTCCTGCTCCAGGTGGAATACCTGCTGAAAAAGGTACTCAGCAGCATGAGCTTGGAGGTGAGCTTGGGTGAACTGGAGGAGCTTCTGGCCCAGGAGGCCCAGGTGGCCCAGACCACCGGGGGGCTCAGCGTCTGGCAGTTCCTGGAGCTCTTCAACTCAGGCCGCTGCCTGCGGGGCGTGGGCCGGGACACCCTCAGCATGGCCATCCACGAGGTCTACCAGGAGCTCATCCAAGATGTCCTGAAGCAGGTCAGCCAAACTGGGAACTAGGGGAGGCGCACAAGGTGCAGGGCAAAGGGGGACCTGGGAAGCCTCTGACGTAACTCTGGCTGGCAGGGCTACCTGTGGAAGCGAGGGCACCTGAGAAGGAACTGGACCGAACGCTGGTTCCAGCTGCAGCCCAGCTGCCTCTGCTACTTTGGGAGTGAAGAGTGCAAAGAGAAAAGAGGCATTATCCCACTGGATGCACACTGCTGCGTGGAGGTGAGGGGCAGGATGGGGGTGGAGGACACTTCAGGGCCCAGAGCGTCCTCAGGGGCATGAGAAGACAAGGGGGTCAGGAGAGGGGCAAATGGAGAAAAGCCACGGTGACACAAATTCTGCTTAGATTAGTGTGACCCAAATATATCTGGATGCCTCAAGGCCATTCTCATCCATGTCAGCACTTAAAACTAAAACTGCAACTCAAACACCAAAGTAATTGGTGAATAATATGGAATTTGCTCAATATTCAGAGGAAGTGGCTTATATCTATACTACACAGCAAATCTTTCTAAAAAAAATCCCTTTTAAAGGTTTTTCTTCTTCACCCATATTCCATTCTCTTTAGCAACTCTATACTTCCCTATTCTCCCTCCACACCCCTCTGCTCTGTCTTCCCCTTCTGTTTCCTCCCTTGTGTTCATTACTATTTTAGAGGCTTAAAACACAAGCCTCTTTACTATTTTAAATAATATATATATATGTGTGTGTGTGTGTGACATGAAACTTGCCATTTTAACTATTTTAAGTATACAATTCAGTGGCATTAAATACATTCATGAAATTAAAAAATTATTTTGATATACAACAGATGTACATATTTTCAGGGTACATGTGATAATTTAATACATTCACATATTTTGTAAAGATCAAATCATGTCATTGGGTATCCTTTACCTTAAATATTTCTTTATGCTAGAAACATTCACATTATTCTCTTCTATTTTGAAATATACAATAGATTATTGTAAACTATAGCCACCCTACTGATCTATCGAAATCTAGGTCTTATTTCTCCTATCAAACTGTATGTTTATACCCATTCATCAACCTCTCTTTATCCTCCCCCGACACTTCCTGGCCTCTGGTAAGCACTAATATACTCTCTGTCTTCATGGTGATCCACTTTTTTAGCTCCCACATATAAATGAGAACCTGCAATAGTTGTTTTTCTGTGCTTGGCTTATTTCACTTAACAAAATGACCTATGGTGCCATCTATGTTGCTGCAAATGACAGGATTTCATTCTTTTTATGGCTGAATAATATTCCTTTATATATATCACATTTTCTTAATCTATTTATCCATTTATGGACACTTAGGTTGATTTCGTATTTTGGCCATTATGAATAGCTCTGCAGTAAACATGGGAAGGCAGATATTCTTCAATATATTGATTTACTTTCTTTTAGATATATACCCAGCAGTGGAACTTCTAGATCATATGATAGTTCTATTTTTAGTTTTTTGAGGAACCTTCATACAGTTTTCCATAGTGGCTGTACTAATTTACATTCCCACTAACAGTGTATCGGGGTTCCCTTTTCTCCACATCTTCTCCAGCATCTTTTTACAGAAAAGATATTCTTAACCAGGCACAGTGGCTCATGCCTGTAATCCCAGCACTTTGGGAGGCTAAGGCAGGTGGATCACCTGAGGTCAGGAGTTTGAGACCAGACTGGCCAACATGGTGAAACCCCGTCTCTACTAAAAATACAAAAATCAGCTGGGTGTGGTGGTGGGCACCTGTAATCCCAGCTCATTGGGAGGCTGAGGCAGGAGAATCACTTGAACCTGGGAGGTGGAGGTGGCAGTGAGTCGAGATTGCACCATTGCACTTCAGCCTGGGCGACAAGAGTGAAACTCCATCTCCAAAAAAAAAAAAAGATGTTCTCTATTTTTTTTTATAAAAAGCCATTTTAACTGGGGGTGAAATGATATCTCATTTAGTTTTGATTTGCTTTTCTCTGATAATTAGTGACACTGAGCATTTTTTCATATCTCTGTTGGCTGTTTGTGTGTCTTCTTTTGAGAAATATCTATTCAGATCTTTTGCCCATTTTTAAATTGGATTATTTGGTTTTTGCTATAGAGTTGTTTGAGCTCCTTATATATTCTAGTTATTAATCCCTTGTCAGATTGATAGTTTGCAAATATTTTCTCCTATTCCATGGGTTGTCTGTTCACTTTGTTGATTGTTTCCATGGCTGTCCTGAAGCTTTTTAGCTTGATGTAATCCCATTTTTCTATTTTTGATTTGGGTGCCTGTGCTTTTGAGGTCTTCCACAAAAAATCTTGGCCCAGACCAATGTCCTGGAATAGTTCTCCAATGTTTTCTTCTAGTAGTTTCATAGTTTCAGATCTTACGTTTAAATATTTAATACATTTTTACTGGATTTTTTTTATATAGTGAGAGATAGGGGTCTAGTTTCATTCATCTGCATATGGTTGTTTAGTTTTCCCAGAACCATTTATTGAAAGGAATGTTCTTTCCCCATTGTGTGTTCTTGGCGCCTTTGTCAAAAATGAGTTCCCTGTAAATGCATGGATTTATATCTAGGTGATCTATTCTGTTCCATTGGTCTTTGTGTCTCTTTTTATGCCAGTACTATGCTGATTTGGTTACTATAGCTTTGTATTACATTTTGGTATTTTGTTTTATTTTAGAGACAGAGTCTTGCTCTGGTGTCCAGGCCAGAGTGCAGTGGTATGACCATAGGTCACTGCAGCCTAATCTTCTTGGGCTCATGGGATCCTCCTACTTCAGCCTCCTGAATAGCTGGGGCTACAGGTGTGCACCACTGTGGCCAGTTTGTAGTGTATTTTGAAATCAGGAAGTGTGATGCCTCCAGCTTTGTTCTTTTTACTCACGATTACTTTGGCTATTTGAGGCCTTTTGTAGTTCCATATAAATTTTAAGATTTTTTTTCTATATCTATGAAGATTACCTTTGCTATTTTGACAGAGATTGCACCAAATCTATAAATTGCTTTGGGTAATAGTGTTATTTTAACAATATTAATTCTTCCAGTACATGTGGATGGGATATCTTTCCATTTTTTTGCATACTCTTCAATTTATTTCATCAGTTTTATAGTTTTTCTTGTATAGATCTTTCACTTTGATTACATTGATTCTTAGGTATTTTACATTCTTTGTAGCTATTGGAAATGAGATTGTGCTTCACTTCTTTTTCAGATTGTTTGCTGTTAGTGTATACAAATGCTACTGGGTTTGTCTTTTTTTTTTTGAGATGGAGTCTCGCTCTGTCGCCCAGGCTGGAGTGCAGTGGCCAGATCTCAGCTCACTGCAAGCTCCGCCTCCCGGGTTTATGCCATTCTCCTGCCTCA